AAAAAAAAAAAAAAAAAAAGAGAAAGTCTGGAAAGCCATTGTCAGCATCCAGGTTGCGATGAGACACACATAAGATAGTAGAAACACTATGGGCAAAACATTTTGATGTGGAGGGAGAATGAAAGTTGAAAGGACTGATGCTACCCAACTTCAAGACTTAATATAAAGCTACACTAATCAAGACAGTGTGATACTGATGGAAGAATAGACATATACCAATGGAACAGAATACACAGCTCTTGAAAAAATTCACACAAATATAGACAACTGATCTTTGACAAAGGAGCAAAGACAATACAAAGGAGAAGGGATAGTCTTTTCAACAAATAGTATTGGAACAATTAGACATCACATGCAAAAAAATTAGACCCTGCCAAAAAGTCATGCTCACTGAAAAGGCCTTCAAACAGTGATTAACTTGGTAGCAACAATACCCCTAGCACACAGATTATAGTCTCTAAATACCACTTTTTTCAAGAAATGAAGGAAGGATCCTGAAGAAATGACTGTTTTCAGGTCTCAGGCAGGAAAAAAAAATACAAGATAAGCCTAGAATATCTTACCCTATTTGGTAAAAAGAGGCTATCAAATCTTGCTAGAATTGTGGGGGGAAAAAAAAACAAACCCTCAGGGGTCAGTCTGATTAGAGACATACTTTAAATATAAAAACATTTAGGTGAAAGTAAATGGATGGAAAAAGATACAGTAGGCCACGGGTAATCAGAGGATGACTGGAATGGCTATATTAATATCAGAGAACATAGAGCAAACTTTAAGACAAACTGTACTGTCACAAATAGAGACATTTCATAATGATAAAAAGGTTAGAATAAACTTACATTCATGCAATTAAACACTACTTAGCAATAAAATAGAACAAAGGACTCATAAATGCAACAGTATGAAAGTATCTCAAAAACATTACATTGAGTAAAAGGAGTCTTACACAAAAGAATACACATTGACCGGGCACAAATGGGCCAGGCACGGTGGCTCATGCCTGTAATCCCAGCACTTTGGGAGGCCGAGGCGGGTGGATCACTTGAGGTCAGGAGTTCAAGACCAGCCTGGCTAACATGGTGAAACTCTGTCTCTACTAAAAATACAAAAATTAGCTGGGCATGGTGGCAGGCACCTGTAATCCCAGCTACGTGGGAGGCTGAGGCAAGAGAATTGCTTGAACCCGGGAGGCAGAGGTTGCAGTGAGCCGAGATTGTGCCATCGCACTCCAGCCTGGGGGACAAGAGCGAGACTTCATCTCAAAAAAAAAAAGAATACACATCGTACCATTCCATTTATTTGAAGTTCTAGTACAGGCAATATTAATATATGGTAGATAAAACTAAAAACAGTGGTGGCCATTGTGGGAGGAGTGGGAATAGGGATTGACAGAAGGGGCATAGGAAACTATAGGTTGATGGTTTTATATTTTGATACAGTGGCTTGGGTTATACAGGTTTATGCAGTTATTAAAATTCATCAAACGGTACCCTTAAGATTTGTGCGTTTCACTGGATATACACTTTTTTTTGAGACAAGGTCTCTGTCGCCCAGGCTGGAGCGCAGTGGTGCAATCTCCACTCACTTCTACGTCTGCCTCCCAGGTTCAAGCAATTCTCATGCCTCAGCCACCTGAGTAGCTGGGATTACAGGTGGCCTCCACCATGCCTGGCTAATTTTTGTATTTTCAGTAGAGACGGAGTTTTGCCATGTTGGCCAGGCTAGTCTTGAACTCCTAGCCTCATGTGATCCGCCTGCTTCAGCCTCCCAAAGTGTTGGGATTACAGGTGTGAGCCACTGCGCCAGGCCTACTGGATATAAATTTTACCTTAAAAAACTGTAAACAAATACTGAACTGTACTTAATGCTACTCATACAGAAGGTCTTAGGGGTGAAGTATACTGACATCTGCAATTCACTCTGAAATGCATACAAAAATAAAATGGATTAATGGATAGATGTATAGTTATGTAAAAAAGCAAGTAGAATAAAATGTTACCCAGGGGTTCTGGTGAGTGTGCTTTAGGTTTTCTATCCCTCTGGGTCCATGATTCTCCTGCCAGGAGTCACCCGGCTATCAGCCTAGCCTCAGGAGGGCCAGCCCCCTCCCAGGGCAGCAGGTCTGGGTGAGAAGGCTCTTCCTGTACCTGGACCTGGGTGTGACTCCCACATCTTTCTCCAAGCCCTTAGGGAGCCAATTTCGTAGGAAAGACAGGGACCAATTTTGCTCCCCCTCCCATCCTAGGCCCCTCTTCTCCGGATCAAGCAGCCCAGTTCCTTTAATACCCTCCTGCAGTTTTCATCCAGACCTGCCTGTTTATTGCCCATCTCAGATGCAGCACTGCTAACTGAGTCCAGAGATCCAGGTGTGTTCAGAGTCTGGGAGGAATGGAATTTGGAAGGGGAGATTCAGGAAGCTGGCAGGGGTTCTCCAGGCATGCTCCAGGGAGCATCCTCCCCAAGACATCCTGTTGGGTCCTGCTCCAACACCTAGCCCATCTCTTCCCTTCCTGGAAACATGATCTGGGATTTTTCTTTCTTCTTTTCTCTTTTTTTTTTTTCTTTTTGAAACAGAGTTTTGCTCTTGTTGCCTGGACTGAAGTGCAATGGCACGATCTCAGCTCACTGCAAACTCCACCTCCCAGTTTCAAGCGATTCTCCTACCTCAGCCTTTAGAGTAGCTGAGATAACAGGCATGGGCCACCACACCCAGCTAATTTTTACATTTTTAGTAGAGGTGGGGTTTCACCATGTTGGCCAGGCCGGTCTTGAACTCCTGACCTCATGATCCGTCCACCTCAGCCTCCCAAAGTGGTGGGATTACAAGCGTGAGCCACCGCACCCTGCCAGATTTTTCATCTTCTAACATTTGCGAACCACTTGGTAGGAGTTTGGTGTAAAGTCAAATTACCAGTTTCAAGTAGTAACACATTTTAAAACAATTCAATTTTTTTTTTTTTTTTTTTTTTTTTTTTTTTTTTGACGAGTTTCACTCTTGTTGCCCAGGCTGGAGTGCAGTGGTGCGATCTCGGCTCACTCCAAGCTCCACCTCCTGGGTTCACACCATTCACCTGCCTCAGCCTCCCGAGCAGCTGGGACTACAGGCGCCCGCCACCACACCCGGCTAATTTTTTTGTATTTTTAGTAGAGCCGGGGTTTCACCATGTTAGCCAGGATGGTCTTGATCTCCTGACCTCGTGATCCACCTGCCTCGGCCTCCCAAGGTGCTGGGATTACAGGCGTGAGCCTCCACGCCCCGCCTGAACAATACAATTTTTTAAAAGTTTCACACTAGTGAAAAAAAATTAGTGTTTTTCCCCCGTTCTTGACAGTTTTTTTTTCATTGCTGTATAACCAGTGCACAGAACAGTGCCTGTCACATAACTGTCACTCTAAGTATTTGCTACCTATTTGACTAATAAAATTAAATACATACATATTTGAGACAGTGTCTCACTCTGTCACCCAGGCTGGAGTGCAGTGGTGCGTTCATAGCTCAGTTCAGCCTCAGTCTCCTGGGCTCATATGATCCTCCAGCCTCAGCCTCCCGAGTAACTGGGACTAAAGGCACGCGCCACTATGCTCGGCTAATTTTTTTCACTTTTTTACAGAGACAGGATCTCCCTATGTTT